AAAAAAAAGAAAAAAACCTTTGGTGTGTTAGTGTTTTTTAATGCAAACATCTGAACAGCGCTTGCTTGTGTGATACTGCTCAGGCAGTATAAACCTCGCGTCATTGCGACACTTTTATGATGCTCAAGACGAGTATCACGCCAGCGCGCGCTCTTCAGACATTTGCTCTACCAACAGATAAGAGAAGCAGAGAGAGAAAGAGAGGTGGGCGTTGGGTAAACAATGATGTCAATCAGCGCCCTGCGCTTCTTTTCTACGGAGCAGGTGCTGGAAAGAGCTTTGTGCGCACGCGCCTTATCTCTCCCGTATCGCCCTATTAGCGGCGACATGTTTCGGTGGCGCCCTCGATCGGTTACCTTTCGTGACGTCATTACCTTGTGAACAACAAGTTCTATAGTGTTTGTAATGAGCATTCTGGAAGCCTGAAATAATAGCGGTCTCAAAGCAACACTGCCAACACCGTCAAAATAGAAGTTCTTACATTCCTCTTATTTCCGTCGATGGGACACCCTTTGCTGACGTCATAGTCACATTCGGCCAATTGTGGTGGGCCGACCACAGCGACGCTTTCGATCGCTCACGTTGCGAATACCTTTCCGCGGCGCGGCGCTGGCCGGCCCTGGTCGACGCTCGCTTGATATTATTAAAAACTTGGGCCACTGCACACCTTATTGTGCTTCACGTAGACGGTGAAACGTGCACTCTGAAATGCCTGTAACCACTATATCGAATTATATTTATTAACTTATTTCAAATAAACAGCACATGTTCCGTAATATGGTGTGCTTGTTTCTCGTAAATATTTGTTATAATAGGCAAACCGTCTTCCGCACCCCGCCGAATGCAATGACTGCATTTGAATGCGCTTGAGCCCTTTTGCATAAAGATTTTATACTCGACAGGTCACGTACGTAAAGTGATATCTCCCTGGGCAAGGAGCGGAACAAAAGTATAGCGTACGCTAAAGACACTTAAGACTGCTTACAGGTAGGAATGCGAAAGCATTCCTACACGCAGCGCATTCCTACCAGCAGCGCGGCACGTCTTCCTTATTCACACGGCACACCGGCGGTGACATCACGCTCCCCCACTGCGCAGGCGCGGCGAACCCCGCCGGCTCCACGGCTTCCGTGGCGATGCATCTGCGTTGCTGTGCTTTTCTTTGTGTTTTATTTCTGAGGCGCGTCCGCTTTGACCTTGAGCGCCCCGCCGGCTTCCATGGCGAAGCATCTACGTTGCTGTGCTTTTGGCCAATGGAAATTTAACTGCCGTTTCGCTGCTACAGACGGTTACAGACAACGCGAGCTTCGCTCCATAGGACAGTTAATGCTTTCGCATTAATAAGCATTTATGACATATATCGTTTAGAATTTTCAGTACGTATTGACCAATTCTTGTTCCTAATGTTCTTAATACACCATTTTTGTCTCCGACCCTAGATTTATTTCTGGGAGCCCCAAGCGTACAAAGGCTGAACAATCTTCTGATATCTCTGTATGGCCGGCTATGCGTTCAATTGGCTTTTACTCTCCTTATAGTAGGGCTCTGCGTTTTTGAATAAATCCGAAGTAGTCTGAAAAATCACTCGCCGGTAAAAAATGTGGCGATTCGAATTTATCCCAAAAACTCAGAATTTCGAAACTGCCAGTTCTATTAACTCCGTTGTTTTTATGTTTTGTTTTTCAACATATTTTCCGAACAACTGTGGCGCTTGTATTCTTTTTTGTTCTAAGCTTTGTGCTTAAACTCCAAAAAAAAAAAGGGATGTCTTTTTGTCTTTTGTCAACGAAACGTGTCATGAAATCTTAATGGCAGTAGTCGAATATGGTCTCACGTATAGAAAAACTGCTGGACAAAAGTTGCAAGCTGCTGTTCTCTGACCATTATTTGCTGCAGATAACAGTCGAAAACTCAGAATTTTCGAGTAACCATAAAAGAAAGCTACGAAAAACTCTGAATTTGTTTTAGAAAATAAACTCCTTTAAAAAACGTCGGAATTTTCTCAAATAGAAACCCCTATAACGCAGAATCATACTTATAAACCTCGGCTTTGCGTTTTGATATTATTATTTAAAGCAAAGGTTCAGTTCAAAAGTGTTTCATTACAAGAATATACATATTTAATAGAGTCTAATAATAATATTCCCCCAAAACGACTCTTCTAATTAAAGTGGCACCAACCTGCGGTCTTTCAGGCTAAAAACTAAAAGGCATACCTTGCAACGAAACCAAGTTGTGGACACAACCGTTTTGGCGATTCGGGCGTGTTGATGTGTGCTTGACGTCTTCTAGCAAAAATGAAATAAAAGGGGGAATTCGGACCACGCCACTAGAAAAGCAGTGTAACTGGGAATTACGAGAAAAATTACAAACAAAACGAAAAAATTGTCTTTTTTTATAAACAGTCTCAAAATATGTTAAAATTTAGATTTTTAGGAAGTTTGAAAATTAATATAAAATAGTTCGGCAATTAAACAAACGTACTATCAGCCTGTAGGCCACAGATAGGACTACACGAGGACATTGGTAAGCACTAATTAAAAATAATATGGAGATACATGGCTCCAAATATGTCATGCGAACGTCAAAGGTACAATGTTTGGCATTTTTTTATCTCTGTAATGGGATTATTCTTATTTGGCAAGTGTAGAACAAAAAATGATTGGCATACAATAGATTTACACGAAAAGATTATATAAATATTTTAATATTTTCAGTATGCATAACAAGCAACAGCACTTCGTACAAAAATCAAGCACACAAAATTTGATTTTTACCTTGCTCCACCCAATATATTTTTTTCGTACCACGAAAATTGTTTTTAAAGCGGTTTTGTTTTTCTTAGGTATGGGGCTATTAAAAAATCCATATGCTTACCCCAACCGGTGTGTTCCATTTGAAATGAAACGACCCAATAATAATAATAAATTTATTTGTGAAGGAAGAGCATAATCAAGGCAGAGTGCAGGTTCGCCAACGCCATCATTGGCTTGTGCGGCAAAACCAGCTATGCAGGGATGGGCAAAATACATGCAAATATGTATCGAAATACAAATACAAAATACTACGTCAGAAATGTATTTAATTACAAATCTAATTACATTTCCGAAAAAGCATTTAAGTACATACAAATACAAGCAAATGTATTTGGTCTCCTCTCAAATAATTTTCCAAATACATTCCTCAAAATTTGCGTCCGCTACTTCAGGGCACCTGCAACGGGTTTCTGGCTATCTCATTTTAATTTTGCATCGCACACTCGGGATTTAGTGTGCGAGGCTCTAGTAACGTAATAGAAATATAATCACAACAAAATGTAATCAGCGTGGACGTAATAGGTGAAAAAAGTACAGAGCTTCAAGCAGCTTTTTTTGTCGATTACATTTTGGTATAGGTCAAGAAAGAACCGAGACGCCCAAGACGCGCAGCACTAGCTAGAGAATTTTTTTTTTGTTCCAACTTGCACCAGTTACGAAAATCTAGACTACCCGCTCATTTAGGATGTTCCAGGAAAAAATATGGATGGAAATCAGGCTGAAAAGCATCACAAGTTGTCACAGACAATTATTTAGCCAGTCTGCCTGTGAACGTCGATTTCGTCACTATTCTTGCCCTGGACTAGCACCGTAATCACAAAGTCACTAAACGCTTGTGCTTGATTGAGAGACACTGCATTCGGTGCAGAAAATAGTTTTCTTTCTGCTCTGGACAGTGACAATAAATTTGAGGAATGTATTTTCGCCCACAAAATTGTATTTAATTACAATTGCATTTGAAATACCCACGTTTTAGTATTTAAATACACACGTCAAATACGTTACCCATTTTGTAATTAAATACAAATGTAAAATACCTAAAGTATTTTTAGTAGGACGCTCTCGTGTCCGGCAGCGCCTGAGAGGAGAGCGGCGGCCGAGCGCGCGATCTCGTGACGCGGCTGCCAATGACTATCTGGAAGCCGTTTTGCTCAGCCAATGGGAAAATAAACATTTCTTTCGCGTTGTTTTTTTTTTTTTTTTTTTTCGGTTAGAAACGCTGCCGGCTCCGCTCCGTGGGATAGTTAATGTTTTCGCGTTAATAATATTATTGACAATAATTTAATAAAATGACCTACGTTGGACCCGTTGGGCCAATCAGTGCTATCTACGGTATCCTCCACGCAACTTGTCCAGCTAATAAAAAAGTTTAAAAAGAACGAAAGAAAAAGGCTCTAAAACGCTCTGTGCATGGACAATTAGCATGACCGTTTTCTTGTGCTTATTGGTTCTCTGTAAATTACTCTTTCAAAACAAGCCGATTTTTTTTTTTTTTTTTTTTTTGCATTTTGCGATTTTTTAGACATGCTCCGTAGATCACTGTAATTGGTGGATCACGTGTTCTGCGGGAAAGTTGGCACGCAGACGTTTTTTTCTATAAATAGCCGTGTGCCTCCTTTCTCGCAGAGCACCCAGAAAACCAATCAGTGCGATCTATGGAGGGATTTCAGCAAGTCACGAGGCCGAAGGAACGTCTCAACTTAGAAAGGGACTCTGCGATGCTGTACTCTGAGCGTTGCGCGTCAACGCAAATAGGACGTACAAGCCTGTGACATTTCATACTCAGTGTCGCCATTGAAAGCTTCATTTTTAGATTAAAACGCTTTTCTCCGGCTGGTTGTGTGTGCTCTCATTGACAGCGACCGATCATCGACTTATTTTACGACAAAGTGAGTCGAGACATTTCACTGACGTTGTTTTGCGTCACGTTTTTCTTTCTTTATGTAGTCCTTCGGTTTCGCACCGCTGATTCCTTCAAGAAATTATGGAGTACCCGAGTTTGTTCGTTAATCTAAAAACCGTCGAGCGCAGCCCCGTTAACTGAACTGGGGTACACGGTACACGTTCTCCAAATTTTCTCCGTCGCGCGCACCAATGTTTCCTTCTTTTTTTGTGTGTTTTTTGTCAAGAATGATTTGTAAATATGCTTGTTACTGACAAGACTCTGTTTGACTTATTATGCAGCATCCGGGCGGGGTGGAGATTCTCTGGGAGCACGCTGGCAGGGATGCCACGTTGGCCTTCATGGGCACTGGACACACACGCGACGCTGTCGCCCTGCTGCACCAGTACTGCATAGGGATTCTGGTTGAGGTACGTCTGTGGGAAGCGATGTCGTGACAATGCTCAGCCTAATTAGGACTTTAAAGACAACGTGATTAAGCAGGCGAGCTGCTTGTTATTCAACATACTAAAACCTGAGAAGGAGGCAAAAAAAGATGACAGACACAACGTCTCCAATACAGCTACTAAATTTTATTCACCACACTTATTTTATTCAGACATCTCCACCCTAGCGCGCACTAACCATTTTGTGTACGCTCCAGGTCGCCTGCTGAAGTTAAATCGGTCGACCTCCTCTCTTTTCGTAAACACAGTTAGTGCGCAGGCCAGCTGGTGGAAGTTTATCATCATAAGCATATAGACGTGTTTTTCTCTGTTGTTTACCCCAAGAGCTGACTGTCCCTGTTTCTTTTTCTACCACTGTAACACAGACGTGTATGTCACTGTTTATTTTTTAACCACTAAAAAATGTATTCCTCCTTCTGCCCCCGTCTCAGGTTCAAGTCATCATAATAATATTTTCATCTCCGACCGAATCCTTGAAACCCCCCCCTCCCCCCTTCCAAAAAAAAAAAAAAAATATATATATATATATATAAATAAATATATTAAGGTTACGCGTACATGGTGAGTCAACAAAGCGCTACCCACTTCCCGTGAACACGTGTTTACACCCGCAAAACTCGCGCACCCTCAGGAATGCAGTAACTTGTGGCGGAATGGGATGGTGCCGAGGCCTTGTTCAAAGAAACGAATTGTGTAAACCGAGTGTTGAAGGAAACTATCAGGATTGCTTTAGTAGGGAACTGTATAAATCAGTCCTCAATGACACTCGATGCTGCAGCGAACACATTTTTGCGGATGTAAACAAATAAAGAAAAAGAGATTCACGACGTGTTTTCTTGGAAGAGTTAACGCTTCGTTGGCTGACAGCATATACAGGGTGCGGCCGTAAGGACTAACACATTTGGCACGCCTTTGCAAATTTTGAATTTCAAATGTACATACCTGAAATCGGGCACGCGAACGTAGGTTCGCCATTAGTTTTATGTATATTTTTTAGAGCTCAAGTCTGAGGTAGTGAAATATTAAAAATAAAGCAAAATCGGAGGCCGTCTATTTTTTATGTCCTATACCAGCCTGCTTGCCGTCTGCACACTGGTTTATGAGCTCGCTCCCGGGCGGCGATGAGCAAGATAATTGCGAAAATTAATATTTCTAACGAAATATAGGATGTCCCAAGTTACCAAGCTCGATCTAAAATGGACCATAAAAATCGACGCCTGCACGTAGCAGTCTAAACTTTTCGTCAAAGGTGTATTTCACGGGTCGATATTTTTATTGTAAAATTACAGGGCGTAGCTCCCTTCCTGTAAAAAAATAGGGCCAAGAAACTTGCCAGGGTCAACGGCGGGCGGCAACGCAGACGACCCAGCCGAGTTGCGGGGGGCGTTTGGCGCGCGTATTGATAGATGGCGTCGGGAGCAGCGTCGGATAAGTGCACCCGACGACACGCAGATGAAATCCGTTAGCAGCAAAAACGCCGTCGTTAAGCAGACTTTTTTTTAAAGTCTAAGTGTAGCTTTTATTGTCCGCATTTATTTTTTAGCGAAAGGTACATTACAAAAAAATGTTTATTTTCATAAACGACGGGTCGCTAGCCGTCTCGATAAAGAGGTAGCGCCATCTATCAATGCGAGCGCCAAGCACGCCCGCCACTCAACTTGGTCGTCTGCGTCGCCGCCCGCCGTTGACCTTGGCAAGTTTCTTGACCCTTTTTTTCACAGAAAGGGAGCCACGCTTTGTAATTTTACCAGAAAAAACCGACCTGTGAAATACACCTTTGACGAAATGTTTATATCGCTATGTGCAGGCGTCGATTTTTACGGTCCATTTTAGATCGAGCCTGGTGACTTGGGGCACCCTATATATGAACCATGACCACCTGTGAGCAAGTTCACGAACCAGTGTGCAAACTACGAACACCCGGTATAGACAGTTTTGCTGAAAGAGGGCAAGAGAGAAAAAGAGGAATGGGTTACCTGCGCTTTCCTTCTTACTGAGTGGTTAGGAACAAGCGAAAGACCAGAATAAACGCCTTAGACACGTTTTTTTTTTTTTTTTTTCAAGTTCGTTTTTTTAAGTTTTTTTTTTTTTTTACGGTTTCCTCTATTTTATTTTACTTCCAGATATAGGTAGAGCTAGTAGAATTAATAACGACAATCCCATGGTCATCGCGAAATTTTTGTTAGGTAATAGGCTGCACGAAAAACAACCGAAATCTCAAAATATCATCGGAGGACATCTGTACCGCGTACGGAATCTGACAAGGCATGTGCGGCTGCAATGTCCTCAAATTCCATCGCTTTCCTGATGACCAAAACCTCCGGCGGCAGTGGGTTGCGTTCGTAAACAGAAACTTTTCCCCGACACCATCCTCACAAATGTGCTCGGAACATCTCGTGAATAGAGCGCGTACCGAAATTACCGCTGTACTGTCGATCAACATGGGCTACGCTCGCAAGTTGAGTGCAAGTTTTCTCATGAGAATTGCTGTTTCAGCTTTTAACTTTTCGTAACCTAATTTATCTTAATGCTGATATCTTGCAGTGGTGACAGCGACTCGAGTTTACCATCTACAACGCTTAGTTGAAGGCTCATTTCCGCCGCCGTATGTGGCTGGAAATTGTTGAAAAGTTAGTTATATCGTTTTTTCTTAATCGGGGTATCCGGCGCGATGGCAGAGAGCCGTAAACTTATGTTAACCGTCACAACGCGAATTTTTTTTTTTTTTTTTTTGCAGAAAAGTACCTAACGTAGCTGGAAAGAAAACTTCAATTTCTATTCCTGAAACATGTGCTTATGCCTCGATTTCGAATCGATGAATCGTTTATCGACCCGTTCCGACAATGGGCCCATCTCGACTTTGCTGTCTTCAGTTATAGACAAAGGACACACTCGTCGACACCTTCAATTAAAATGTTTATAAACATCTGCAAGCCGGAGGGAGCTGCCTTCGATCCTTTCCTGCAATGGTCTCATCTCGCGCGTCCTTGTTCACATTATATTTCATTGTTGTAAACGACACGAAGCGCCAAAAACATGATCGGTGTACTGCATCCAAAACGACAAAAACCTGAAGGAAAATTCAATCGCTGTAAACGGATTTAATATTTTGAATACTCACCTCCGATTTCTATCGGTGGCGCGTTCAGTGCCGCTCCTCTCGGCATCGTCGTACTGCCGGATGCCATAACACGGGCAAGAAACTTTCCCAATGAGTTGAAAAATACCATGCGCGGCACACAAGAACAAAGAAACGAGCCCTAAGTCGGATACCCAGCATTTTGGAGCACCCAACCAGCAGACCCAACGCGGGAGCGGCGCCCCGCAGAGCACCTTCGCCTACGTTTCTAACCACTCAACATGGCCGCGGAACCTGACGTTCGCTAGATGGCGCTACAGTATTCAGAATGGCGCTGCCCACGATAAAACGGTCTATAGATCATAGGAAATGCGCGGACGCCGTTCTTACTCTATTTTTTATAATTTTACCACCTCTGACTTGAGCTCAAAAAAAAAAAAATAGACATAAAACTTTTTGTGAAATTATATACATTCCGGTGCCCAATTTCAGGTATGTAGGTTTAGAATTCGAAGTTTGCAATGACCTTGGGATTCTTTTTTTTTTTTTTTTTTCCTTTTTTTTGTGAAGGTCCGTAAGGGTTTAGTCGGAGATATAAAACGATTACCTGGGAGTGGAGGTCGACTGATTGAATTTTATTTTACAGACGATGTGGAGCGTGTGCAGATTTGTGAGAGGCTCTAGGGTGGGGATGAGTGTGTACAAGAAGTGTTGCGGATAAAATGTAGTAGCTGTGTTTGAGATGCTGTGTTTTTCTTCTTTTTTTTTTGCTTCCGTCTTGGGTTTTAGCATGTCAACATTACGTTTTATTGCGAGAGTGAAGAAAAAAGGCTTCTGGACAAACGTAAACTTTTGTCACTGGTAATGCAAAATAAACGCAATTCTAAATGCTCCTCGATGAAGTTCCAGCCAGCGAGGTTGGAACTTCGTCGTGGGTAGATGCGGCTGTAACTTCTCCCAATGTTTGAGCTCCAGTCTCCTGCGGCAGCCCTCCAATGCACTATAAACCTTACATAACTTATTGATATGCATCATTTAGTGCGCAGTTGAACAGGCCCTTATTTATGGTTACGGTGCTCCTTTTTGTTTCAGGAGGAACATATGAACATTTTCAACGACGTGTCCATGCAAGTAGCTCTGACAGCGACCTCCTAAAGGTGCGGCTAGACAACATAGATGCCAAAGTACCTGTCTATGAAACATGACCATTTTACAATCACTCCTCCTACGGATCTCATCGTACTTCGTGTACATTTTGTTTTCTTAATTGTACAGCGCTTAATGCTATTTATTGCCTTGATCTTTCACAATAAATTACGGAGAGCATGCTTGAATATCGCCTGTTTTTGTCGCTTTCTTCCCCTACAATCTACCCAGTGCCGGATTAAGGCATTTGGGGGCCCTGGGCTGAAGCTGTTATGAGGCCTCTACCTATGATAATGTGATAATGGTGGTGGTGACGATGGTGATGGTGGAGGTAACGATGGCGACGGGAATATGTATATTTTCTAACTTGTAAAATCTAGATATGTTTCATCGTATGATTATTGTCGAGCCTTGTTTAGATCCGTAGATTGAATGGAACTCAAGTTTTCCTTGCTGGCGTTGAGGTGGATGCGATTGTTTAGAAGCTACTTCGCAAATAATCAACCGCTCTAGCAATTTACAATACAGTAATTTTGAGGTACAAAAATGAAATCAAATAAACATTGCGAAAAATATTAGGATTTGTCGTTCACATCCAGCAACTTAACCACAAAAACAACAACAACAACAAGGAAATCACTCAATTGCTTCCGTTTAAAATGTTGACTCCGTTCATAACTTTGTTTGACTAGAATTACAGCTATAGATTCATAGAGTACATGCCCGGGCCAGTTTATACAAATTGGTCACGATGTCGACTTGTAGCACAGGTGACTCTCTTGCTAACATGTCGAGTGACATCATTAATCACACATGAATTGAGTTATGCAGCAACTGAAAAGGTACCTGCAAAATTCCCATTCTAATTTCACTTCCCCTAAATGGCATGCCTTGCAAATCAACAACTGCCACGAAAATCTAAAGCCCCTATTCTTGTAATTGTTCCAAATTATTGGAAGTGTTTTAACTTCAAACTAGCCCTCTGTTAATTAATTACTGGTGTGAGCAGTGAAGGAAGTGACATAGGCAAGAAAGAAATTTCGTTGGTTGAAGCAGTCTTTATCGGGATCAAACTACTTCGTAAACGCTCTCCTAATAACTGAACCCTCGTTTCGCAAAAAAACACAGACTTCCACATTTAAAGCATAAGAGAAACTGCGTGCGATTCTAAGAGATCGATCGCTGTCGTTCGGGCACATTTGCATTTGAAGAATTTATCATGAGAATCGAGAAGATATTTTCTTTTTGTATCTACACGCTGCCTTTTTGAATGGGAAAAATGTTTCGGATCAGATTTAGTACTAATCTTGTTCTTTTTAAATGCACTAACTTAGACTTCGGCGGCCAATTTGTTCTGTGACTCAACGTTAAAAAATAAGAGGTTATACCTCAGAGGTTGGTGAAACCATTGCAGTATTCGTATCAGTCTCTGGAAGGAAGAGTGTTCAGTTGCACTGGCAGATCAGATATCGACTCTAGAGCACTTCCTTGCAGTCAGTACCATTCGAAAACAGTTGAAGGGCGTCTTAAGAGCCGGCTCCTTGAAACGCCTCTTTGTTGGTGGCTATAGAGACGGTGTCCGGAAGATGTACAGGCACCTTTTCGCTTGTTCCAAACTTATCGTTCTAGAATGAACTCCATATGGAGTTTCGCGAAGAGAATTAAAACAACATGTGTGAACCACCTGCGTTGCTTGCTTAACGCTTGCTTAACTTCCTGCCCACAATTGTCCGCAAAACACGCTAAGGGGACCCGAGTGCAAAAGAAAACTCCATAACCGTCCTTCCATCAAGCCCCATCAAGCTCCAATTAAAAAAAAAAAATCTAACAAAGGGCATGGGAGGCCGTGTTAAATTTTGTTGTTCTGGCACGCTCTTGTACAACAAGCTCACAAGCGCCAGCTGATCTAGAGACGGGAACTTTATGGCATCCTTGTTTCCTTGTTAAAGAAAAGAGAACGAGAAGACCATTGCACCAGAGGCCCTTCGTAGTGTTTCATATGCTTTCTGCCTAAACTTTCACAAAAAAAAAGACTAACATTTTTACATTTTCAGGGGCCAGCATGGGGCCCCCTGACAGCCTGGGGCCCAGGGCTGCAGCCCCCTTAGCCCGTACCTTAATCCGGCCCTGAATCTACCGCCGAAAGCATCGGCCACAACTGTAGAAAGGGAATAGACATTTTGCACGGAAGCCAGAGTGCCCCGACGGCATCAATCTTGTCGTAACTTGTCAATTCACCACTTCACTGAGTCGGCAGTCCAGGAAAGGGGCGTAGAAAAGAATGGCACCGGAAAGAATGGTTCCAAGGGATGTATCACAATTGCCCCGCGTGCGGAGTTCCTCTCGCAAAAGCCCCGCGTCATTAGCCCCACGTTTCGAAAAAACCGCGTTCAATTACCCCGTCCCGCATTCCCCGCGTGCAAAAAGTCACGTCCTCACTGTCCCCATCCCATATTCCTCCTCGCGCTCCAACCAGCATTTTTTTTTTTTAATATCTTAACCTTATACGTACAAGTGGCCGATTGCATAAATCTTGCATAACCAGCGATGCACTAAGCCTGTCAGATGTATAATTATAACCTTTATCTACCTAGATGGAGAAAAATATTTTTAGAATGGCGTAAAAAGAATGGAGTGTTTGGTGCAGAACGTAATTAGTATGGCGCTTTTACAAACTGTGAATCCGCGCGTGCCTCAGGGTCGACGAAAGCTCTGGTTCAAAGCTTATTCAGAAGAACTGTAACTTTAAATGTTTTGCCAGTGACTGATATTTTCTGTTTGTACTTAATCCGAACGTGACTAGACGTGAATGTATATAGCGTACGCCTGAAGAACGGGAAGCTTTGTCCAATTATTCCTTACTGGAGTCCCAGGTACGCCATGATTATGTTACACAAGCTCGCTTGCGGACTTAAGGCTGGTTCAGACACTTGTGTCTGAGTGCGTTCGACTGCGTTGCGTCGAGAACCGTAAGCGAGTCACCGGCACATCTGTGCTTCGTATGAAGCGTGGAGTCCAATTCAATGAATCACCTTGGCACGCGATATAAGCGGCAGGGATGTCCTGGTGTCTCGCAGCCGCAAATGCAGTCAAACGCAGTCAAACGCAACTGTCTGAACCAGGCTTTACTGTCTCTTCGTTAAAGGCAGAATACTCCGCCCTCGCGCTGAGGACCCGGCCACCTGACACAGGGGGTTCTCGTCATGGGCTTCTGAAACCGGGGCTTTTGAAAGCGGGGCAAAAAGGGTGGGGCGTTTGACATTGGGTGTTTTCGTGCACCACCCGTTCCAAGTGGTAAGTGGAAAAAAAGTGATCCCAAAAGATAAAAAAAAAAAAAACACACAAAAAAAAAATTTCCAGTGGAATTTGTTTTGAAACGGGAGATAATAACCTCGCAAATTTCCCCTCACAGCAACCACATTCTGGTTTTAAATTCTGTCATATATATTTTTTTTTTGCTGGTAATGAAGAAAACAAACAAACAGAAAACAGGGAGATACATACTGGCGTGAACATTCTCAGGACACGCAGTAATGTTAGAACCGGTTGGATACGACCGACGGTACGCAAGGAATCCTCAATTGTCGTCCCAGCGGCATACGCATCACAGAGGCTCTTGAGACGGCGTTGCATTTCGACCAGCGTTGACTTTCTCCTCTCTTTGGGAAGAGCCCCGACTCGGTCTGCTTGTGCAGACCGAGCAAAAGCTTCCCCATCCCCCTGGGATATCTACGTCAGCGCGGCTCCGCGCTAAAGCGTGACGTTGTTACCACGTGATGCGCATCCCGTGGAGCAAAGGTAAGGATTTCTCCCCGATGTCAAGTTGGCTAGAGGGGGAGGTGCCAGAATCGCGCAGCTTGCTCCGTGTGCGGCGGCTCGCTAGTGTATCATGACGACGATAGTGGTGTAGCTCTCATCAACTCTGAGATGGGAATTGCAGACGCCGTGCCAGGCTCGTTCGCATCGCTAGAAGTGCTCGTCTGTGGTGCTCTTCCTCGAAAGATTGCCCCATGCGTCCAGACAACTGCGATTGCAAAAAGTCAAACACACTGCTTTGTACCCGGATGCACAACGGGGTACGCTTCTGCGAGAAGAAAAAAAAAGAGAAGAAAGCCTCCTTATTCGGTTCTTAGTTGGACTGCTTGAGGATGAGTCGAGGACTGCCTCAGTATATCCGAACATCCTTATTTGCGCATCCTGAGAATATCCCAAGGATGTCTTTGCGTTGTAAAACTCTAAAAAAAGCCAGTGCGTCTACTTTCCCGCAAACCAATCGGAGAGCCGATCACCGCAACTTACGGAGCAGCTCAGCGAATGACGATGCGGAAACATATGTTTAGACTAAAAAACATAGTCTGAGTTGTGACATCAAGTAATGCAAGCGTGGCGTTTTTCATTCCATTCAACCGGTCGTCACTTAAAGGAGCTATGCAACAATTTTTGTACTTTGCGCAAATACCGCTTAAAACGGATCTCTAACGTTAATGACCTATGAAACACGCGTTCGTTCTTCACCCCACGCAATAGAAGTCCCAGAAAAAAATTAAAGAAAAACGAGCAGCGTTCACCCCCTCAACTCGCAGCCAGAACAATCGGCCACGTGATCTGGAGCCGATTATATGCCGCCAGTGTTGATCATAGCCACGCGCTGGGGTTGGCAAAGCGCAGGACACGCGCTGAGTTCCAGACATTGTTATGGCTCGGCTGTTGTCGTCGTTGCAGCGATTGGACGCGGGTCACAACCCGAATGCTTCTCGAGCTAGCAATTGTCACGAGCCCAAGTCGAGTGCCCACGCAGGGCTCGGGTCCAATCTATGAACCGCATTCAAATATCGTCACTTGGGTGTACTGCGATCCCCGAGTTACGTCATCAAATTTTGCGAAGGAGAGATTGAATGAAAATGATCGCTTTTGTCCTTGAAATTACACCGCAACAAAGGAGTTTCTTGGCCAATGGCGTTGCGTGTGAGTATCCTTGAGTCCCAGGTGTGCCAGTAAGCTCGTGTAGAGAGAAAAACATTCCAATTAAATATCGTTGCACAGCTCCTTTAAGGTGCAACCCCACCCTTCGTTAGTGTGATTCTGAACAAGAGATGGCGGTGGGATCGCCTTCAGACCTGTACATCAATGAGAGAAATCGTGGGTGGTGGCGCTTCGATACAGTGGGGCATTTTTCTATATCTTGAAT